ATCGATCGATTGTGAATAGAATAGGAGAGAAAGAAGATTAAATGGGTGCAGGGGCAGATTTGGGATGGTAATTTTCGTAGGTTTAAGAATAGGAGCAAATTGGTCCTATTAAGGGAAGAAAACATAAGAGGTCCTATTTTTGCATTTCACTATTATTTTAGTCCTATATAGGACAATTACTATTTTTATAAAACGTAGTGCATTATTGGTTACTTTTGATTCATCATATCTCAAATTTTGTGCACACGATTTATTTTCAATTTTCATGAGTAGAAGAACTCTTTTTATGTGATCCAAAACATAAATATATGTATACACAATGCATTTCTAATAAAAATGCTAATAAACAAAAGAAAAATTGAATAATTAAATGATAGTGTCTGTATACGTCATTATTACAAGAAGGAAGAAATGATTAAAAAATCGTTTTTTTTTATTTTGTATTTCAAAAGAATTAAAAGTTATGTTATAAAGGCAAAGAAAACGGCATATCATTATTTAAATAAATAAAAAGTGGAAAATAAGAATCTAAAATAAAAGGTATAGAAATTTAAAAAGTGATTGAATTGAACAACATCCATTATCATATGTCTAATGTCTAAACAAGCGGTAAAGGAGTGTCAAGTAAAAGAAAAGTGCAAGGCAGAGCTCACGCAGGCAGAGTCACAAAAATAAAACGCCTCTCCTGGGAATCGAATCCGCAATATCTGCGAAGGAAGATATTAGAGCTCATGCAGCATCCCAACATCCATTTGGACGACCAGAACACCTATGCACATTAAGCCACCGGGGCTTTAATATATACTCCCGGTTTTTATTAAACTTCACTCTTTGTCTTCACACAAAATAAGGAAAGAAATTTGACTTTACTGTAGAGTACACTGTTGAGGCACTGTTTGGCACTGTTGAGACACTCTTTGGCACTGTTGAGACACTGTTTGACACTGTTTAGCACTGTTTGGCACTGTTTTGATATAGATTTCTTTGCCAAAAAAGGAAATAAGGAAGTGTAAAGTTTATTTTAGACCGTCCCAAAAAGGAAAGTGTGAAGTTTATTAAAAACCGGAGGGAGTACAATTTTACAACCGGGTCGCCGGAAAATGGGGGGCGCCGGAGATATACACATATATACACTACCGCCTCCGGAGAGGGGGCGCCGGCACCGGCTAGCCCCCTAGTTCCACCACTGCCCTTACCTCACCGTAGGTGAGAGGCTTTGCGGCACTAGGCTAATGTTGTTGTGGTTGCTCAAATTCGCCCCCGTAGTATTTAAAAAAATCAATTAAGCCTCCAAACTAAAACAACACCCAATTCACCAATTGAGACCTCAAACTTTACACAAACATTAATAATCGGTCAACCGGTCACTTGCCTACATGCCTTATTTTATAATTTTTCGTTGGGAAAAGTACGGAAAAGGTACTTGTGATTGGACCCGTTTTCATATATGGTCATGTGTTTCATTCTTTATCAAAGTGGTTCATGTGTTTGAATTTCGTTATCACAAGAGGGTCACGCCGTTAAAACATCTTAAAAAGACCATTAAAAGTAACTCCGATTTTCAAAAGTGCCCGAAAAAATTAAAAGAAAAATACTGGAAGGTGCGCCTCAATAAGACGACCGCTGGGCCATCTTTCTTTTTTGTTTTCAGTCACTCTTTTCCCTAAACTAAGCTCATCAGATCGCTGGCGACTTGGGAGGAAGTGCTCTTGAGCTTCTTCGTCGGATCGAAAGTGCTAGGGAAGGTTTTTTTTTTGCAAAGGAATGTTATTTCTAGTGTGTTCCTAGCTCAGAAACTACAAAGGAACATGACATTTGATTAGTTCTTTTATTAATTTTGAATGTTAAGATCTTTTATACTTTTAGAATAGAAATATTTTAAATAAAAATGTGTAGTTCCAACTCAATAAATCTTATCTTAAATATTTGACCAATGTGGCAATTTTTTATTCGCTTCACATCCTCTAAAAATTCCAGCTACGTTTACCTCTTTACTTTCTTACTATAACACTTCCCAGGTTACAAATCCACCGTTAATGTTGACAAGTATGACTTGGACAGAAAATCATCCTGATACCTCGTGTTCATCAACATGGCATCATCCAATAATGTAATGAACCCTCCTATATCTTCACACCAAATACATTGACCACAAATGAATTTTCTTCCACGCAAGCAGCATCTATTAAACATTGGTTCAAAGGTCAAGGTGCTTCTGATTCCCTCACGAAGAAATGACATGGAATCACCATAAAGGAGGAAAAATTGGAAAATTGGAAAAGAAAAATCATAATGCATAGCATGAGCTCGGCCTCGTATGACCCCTAGCATGAGATCGGCCTAGTATGAACTCGGGCTAGTTCAATTAATCTAGTTCCCACTTATGTATGAGCTAGTATGAGCTCCGCCTATTTGATTAATATATTAATAGAAAAATTATAATGCATAGAAACTAATTCTATTTATCTACTTCCTAGTTATGTATGAGCTAGTATGAGCTCGGTCTAGTATAAGCTCAGTATTTTCCCGAACTCGTAGTTTACCTCGTCCAGTTGATATCCGAGCTCAATGTTTTCCCGACCTCGGCCGAAGTAACCTTTTTACTGGGATTTGATGTTTTCATTGGCCGAAGTAACCTTTTTATGACTACTAATCATGGAAAAAAAATATGACGTATACATATGATGTTTCTTGCAACTATCGTTTACTTGTTGTATTGACTATTGCATGTTTTTTTCAGTGAAGGAATTGATCTTCGTTGATTTCTCCTCAGGGCCAACGTGTTCTCAAACTGATGAGAAGAATCTAAGCCATAGTTAGTGGTGATGGATGAAGTTACTGTAATTTCATCGGATCGATTGGTGCAGAGTCGCAGAGAGCATGGGAATACAAATCAAAGCACCAGATGACTTTACTTAGGGCTGTTAAATCATGACTTAGAATGCTTCCCTTAATATTGAATGTCTTTTGCTAGTTATCTCAGGAATGTATTAAATCATAGTGTCTGTATTCTATATGGGTATTGGCCATAGACTGTCTTGCTTTGCTAGTTATCTCACAATGTATTATATCATAGTGTCTGTCTTCTATATGGGTATTGGCTAGTGCTTTAGCGGTATTGGTTGATATCAACTAAGATTACCAGGAGAAAGTTTTCCCACTTTCAGGACATTTGGATAACTGAAAAAGAAACGATGCCTCCCAGTTTGGAAAATGAGGCTCATCTCCAGTTTCGTAATACAACCATTGCCAATACATTTCATGCAATTGTCATCCGACAACTACAGGTGGAACCAACCCCAATTCTGGGACTTGACCAGATCGAAAACTGGCAAATTTTCTTATACAACACCATTGCCATCTGACCATCCTGGTCATTGGTTGGGAAGTTGGGCTCACTTCCATCGTTTACAACTAAGGTGGACTGGCCTATTCTTTGACTTGATCCGATCGAGATGGCCAGTTTCCGCCTGAGACGGAATTGGTTTTCCTGAGCCGTAACGGGCCAAATCTGGTCTGATTTCTCCAAAATAGGCCCCCAATGGTTCTGGACATGCATATTTGAATGCACTAAAAGTGGCTTGGGATCAACCAGATCGAAACCAACCAGGAACCGGAATGTTATAACTGTTTCGCTTCTAGTCCCTCCACATGACTGCACGCAAACTGAGTCAATCACTGCTAACAAGTAACAACCATCGCCACCATCGCCGCAACCAGCGAGGAAAAGGACAAGATTATAAGATGGTGATATTAGAATTTTATCCCACTAATCACATTCTTCCAAAAGTCTCAGTAGGAAGAATAAATGCCCTGAAATGCTTTATGACATTAGGCCCTGTGAAAGCAACTCTAATATCATGACAGTGACTCCAACATGATAAACTAAGCCAAAATATCACCCCATCAACAGAGGCGTGTTCAACAATCATCAACATCCCCAACACCACCATCGTAGCATACCCAACCAATGGATTTGAGGCAATAATACAATGATAGGATGGTGAAAAGCAAACTGATTTTTACTTTGTTGAGCCTTATCAGTCCATTTGAGCTTTGCCGCAAAGGCTCCCACCTACGGTGGGGTAAGGGGGTGAGATGTATGCAGCATCACAGCCTTACCAAACTGTATAAATTATCAACTCAGCAATGACATGAAAACTTGTAGCCAATCAAGGTATCTAACAAAATTGAAGATATTGGCACCTAATGTGACGCACACGTAGATGCGGCTGGGTAGCCTGGGTACAAGAACTTCGAGCAACCCATGTTAGACAATTAAGCCAGCATAAAAGAGGGTTCCTAGAAATTTTCTTAGTATCGTGCATGTGCATATTATTTAACTGCATAGTTTAGCTAAAATAACACATAGATTCATAAAGTGGTGGTGTTCTTTTGCTCTGCATCTTTGAGATCTACCACCAGGCCGTTCCAAATGCTGGCATAGGCTACGCTAAAGTAATGTGCGCTACACATGTTTAGGAACAAAGCAAACCTGGCCCAGAACTCAGCCCGGCCTAGTACTGTGTAGTCCTGGCCCAGCTCGGTTGACCAGGACCAGGTCCGGACCCATAAGAATAATTGAATAAATAGGAAGGCTACAGCATTGGAATTCTCTGGACCGGGCCGACTGGGCAGAGGCAGGTCCGGGAACAATGGACAAATAATCAAAAAAATTGGGTTTGGGCCCTTGGGCTAGGACAGGTCAGCCTGACCCAGTACCAGTACATACCCGGCCTAGTACTGGGCTTGATTATTTGGGACCCAGAGCCCGCCAAGTTCCAGCCCGAAGCCTGCCCGGACCCAAAGCATGCCTACTAGCAGCAGCTTGCAAGTCAGACAAGTCTTTATTCCTAAAATCCAGAGCATGCGCGGACAACTGGACAAGGCACCAAAACCCGGGTGCTACTGGACAAGTGCATTCTGGTTAGTTTTGGGGTCAATGAATAAGTCTAGACTTGTCACTTTTTGTACTTGTTGCGATGGAAAGAGAGAGATGTGGCAGTAATAGTATTACGCAAGTAGCATGATATAGAAAAGGCTAACATTAAGAAAATGCTCAAGTATTCAATAAGAAAATTAAATATAAATACTACAAAGCAAAACACATGGTATCAAAAATCATTTTCAGAAAATGATATCATAGGTGGCAGGCAGGTAACATCCAAAATGAGGTAAACAACAGAAAAGAAAAACCAAGCACATAAACCTCATGCTTCTAGATTCATTTAAGAAATGCTCATTCCTCATCTTCTTCATCTCCATCACCACCAGCAGCCTTCTTTGCAGCTGCCTTCTGGTTCTTTCTCTTCACTCTTCCTGGACGACCACCACCAAAGGGACTAGACAGTGAGAAATCAATGTGTTTCTGTGAGTCCACCCTGACCATAAAGGATGGAACATTGACAACCTGCCTTCCAACTCTGAAATACAAAAGTAAGATTAAAAAACCCATACAAGAAAAATAATGAATAAAACCAGTGACATTTAAAACCAAGCAAGGATTTATATTATAAATGCATCTTCATCCATTGACATTAGGAGATTGGAGATCACCCACAAATGTATACTGTGACCGATGCAAATCTCTGTGCTATTGACTTCGAACAACAAAACATGCCAAGAAATGAAGTGTAATACACCACAAATGCACTAAAATAGAAAAACTTAGAAAACCTTAATGCAATCCATTATCTAATAAAACAGATTGCATATACGTTGCTTTTAATGGCTTGAATTTATGGCAATTATTGTATCCTTTTTCATTAATCATTTTTAATCATTTGAAACTTCAGCAAAATTCAAACAAACAAAAGTTGTATGAAAAATAAAAGAACACCAGAAATTTAAAAAGGCACAAATCAACTGATAATTGTTGTATAGTGAACAATTTAACATTCGTCATAGAAATTAAACTTTACCGGATGTGCTTCTGCCTAATGAGAACCCTAGCATGATGGATTGACTTGGCCATGCCAGCCTTGAAAACTAAAGTCTGTAGACGGCGCTCAAGGAAATTCTCAACTGTGAGGGCAAGCACATAATCAAGCTTGTTTTGGCTCTCATCCAGCAACCCATACTGATTCATCCTCTTCAGAAGCGCATCACCCTGAAAAATACGCTTTGGGTCCTTCTCATCAAGGGTAAGAAGCTTCCGTGCATTATTCCTGATACGGCTCAAAGCATACTGGACTCTCCACAGCTCCCGCTTGCACCTGAGACCATACTCACCCACAAGCTTCAACTCAGAATCCAAACGCTCCTTCTCGTATGGGCGACGTGGCTTTTTGAATGTCTTTCCATCTACATTTGATAACATATGAACATATTATTGAGTTTACCATATAACAGAGACACATAGTTGGGTAGTGACAACCAGTACATCCATCCAAACTCAAAATAAGTTAAATTCAGTACCAGTTCAGACTTCAGACTCATGTTCTATATCTACTTACAAACCTATTTTAATGATCAAGTGAAGAGGTAATCATAATCAGTGTTCGTGAGAACTTTCTGTACTACAATTTAACACTAAGAATATAACTTTGATTTTCACAGATCCAACCGTTGACATAAGCACAAGCATCATTGACCACACTCACCGTTAAGAAACATACACAACAAGCATGAACAGATTCTCTCACATGCTACATGTAACAGTACAAGCGATAGGTAAAATGTGTTCCATAGAAATTTAATTAGTTGCCAGAAGCAAAAACACAATGGAACTTAAGAATCAGTCTGCTTAAGGTTGTGCAACCCTTTAAATAACATTGGAACCCAGAGGTTATAATCTTAGATGCGGGTTATATAGCATTGCCGTGATATCCCAAAAACCCAGAAAAACATAAAGCAAGTGAAGCTACCACGATATCCCCAAAGATCATGTTTTTAACCTAGATGAAGCTACAATCTCAGACAATCACAAAATTTATGCTCTCGTCGCAACCACACATTTGCCCCAAACTTGAATGCGTCAACACATACAGATTACATCGATAGTAAGACAGACGGAAATTATGATAAGGCTTACAATTCCGATAGTAAGAGACGTGCACCATCTCAGGCCAGAGGCGAGGTCGTCGATTCGGTCGATAGTTGTGTAAAGATACCGCAGGTAAGGGCGGAAGGCTAGGGTTGGAAGAGTAGAACTCTATTTATATACATGTGTATATATACGCTCGAGTGTGCGCAGAGTGCCATAATTTTTAGGGAAATGGGCTTTGAACGGAGGTTAGAGCCTTAGAGCTAGTGGACTCGGGTCGGGCCGCCCGGCCCGGTACTCTTTGGGCCCCGCCCGGTACCCGGTCATAGGACCGGTCCGGGCCACCCGAACCGTTAAATAAACGGGGCGGGCTCGGGTCTCCTAAAATAGGAATCGGCCCGGCCGGTTCGGGCCTAATTTTTTTTTTTTCAATTTTTTTTGTTTCTACCGGGTTGGGCTGGGTGTTTTGGGGGGGGTTTGGGGGGTGGGGGTGAGGGGTCGGGGGTTAATTAGAAAATCAAAAGAAAATAAAAAAAATAACATCAAACCGGAACCAGCCCGGCCCAGCCCAGAACCGCTGCCTACCCGGGCCGGTTCCGGTTCTCCCTTCCCAAAGAAAAAGCCAAGCCGGGCCCGATCCGGAACCGGCCCGGGTCCATCCCTAGTCAGAGCTTTAGAATAGGCCCATATTAAAATAATATACTAAGAGGCTGTTTGGTAACACTGTTTTTCGGCTTTATCAGGCTTATCAACCAACTTTTTCACCAAACACGTAATTTTTGCTTTCACGCGCTAAATTGTGTAATAAGCAGAAAAGGTAAGGTTGAAGTTACTTTTCTGGCTGTATTGGTTGAAGTTACTGTGGATGACTATTTTAGCTATTTTACATGTATATTTTTCTTTATTTTATTAATAAAATATATTTTAAAAATAATTTTGTCCTAAGTCAGCATAATCAGCCAATGCAGCCAGAATTCTCCAGTATCCTGAACTCAATAGATCAATGTCACAATTATTATTAATTATATCTCTTGTATGTGTTCTTTGATGTTCGGTTTTCATTTGAGAGTTGGAAGGTAGGTCATCAACAGTGGCGGAACCAGGACCCGTGACTCGCAGGGGCACAATAACAAAGAAATCACTGGTCAGTCTCCATCGGCCGTCACAGAGATGCTCACAATTGCCGTCGGCCGTCGTTGGGGTGCTCACAGTCCGTCGGCCTTCGCTGAGTTGCTAGAGTTGATGGCTTGCTGCAGATTGATGTGAGTTTGAAACGCCGATTCCGCCGAACTGCCGAAGCAATATGGGGGCTAAGGGGAAAGGGAAGCTGGGCTTGAGTTGAGCTGTTGAGCCTTGATGGATTGGGCTGCTGGGGAAGAGGGAAGTGGGATTGAACCGGACAAACAAGGGAAAGGGGGAAATGAGATTGAACTGCAGGGGCTCAAATTAATAAAAATTAAAATATGTATATATATTTAAAAGAAAAATAATTCACTGCAGGGGCACGGGCACCTTCGGGCTCTATGGTGGTTCCGCCCCTGGTCATCAATGTGTCATCCTTTATCGTGAGGGTGGACTCACAGAAACACATTGATTTCTCACTGTCTAGTCCTTCGGTGGTGGTCGCCCAGGAAGAGTGAAAAGAGAACCAGAAGGCTGCTGCAAAGAATGTTGTTGTGGTGATGGAGGCGAAAAAAGATGAGGAATGATCATTTCTAAATGTATCTAGAAGCATGAGGTTTTAAGTGCTTGGTTTTTCTTTTCTGTTGTTTACCTCTGTATTCGGATGTTACCTCCCACCTTTGATAATATTTTCTTAAAATGATTTTGGATACTTTGTTTTGTTTTGTAGTATTTATATTTAAAATTTCTATTGAATACTTATGCATTTTTGTAATGTTAGCTTTTCTGTTGCTACTATACTTGACTTTCCACCGGAAGTACAAAATATGATAACTAGCGGGACTATTCTTTGAACTTGAAACCAACCAGAATGCACCTGTCCTGGAGTATCTGGGGGTTGATGCCTTGAGGAAACATTTTTTGATTTTAGGAAAAAGACTTTTCTTGTATTAGATTTGATAGGTTTGGGCCTGACATTGCAATTTATATGTGGGGCTAGACTCCAACTTTGAATGTCAAGGTGGATATTTCATTACTTTAGTATCGCATATACCCAGCATTTTGAATGTCGAGATGGTGTAAATCTCAAAGATGCAGAAGATCTTTTCTCAAGGCGGCAAGAGGGGGATTGGTTTCTCACAGTTTGTAATCAGTCTTCGTTCTCTGTTCTCATGTTTAACTATGGTTAATAAAAATATCAAGTGGGGAGCTACAATGATCTAAGATTTTAATTTTTTTTATCATCAAAGAGGCATTCATTCAAAAAAAGCACTCAGAAAGGGGTTGAAATAACAAAAGGACCACAATAACCATCCGCCCGTGGACGAGACTCTGAGTTATTCACTTTTGACAAAGCAATATAACTCTCTAATCCTAAATTGGGCATATTCAAAACCACGACGATTACCGCAGGCCTCTCATCCCCCAATCCAAGTGCAAAAGTCTTACAGCATAAAATAAAGAAGCAACAAAACACAATCAAAATAAAATAAAAACAAAACACAATCGCCTCAGCAGAAATAGAAGTACTCGTTCAAACCCTAGTCCCAGAATTCCTCCAAGGCGGCGGTTCTGGAGGTGGGCGGATCAACATCCCTTCGTCTTCTTTCACACATAGGCCACCAATGAACCCCTGAAATTTGATTTTCCAGTCCGACAGCACGATGTCGACCACCAGAAACTCCATGCTATCACCAATAGCCATCTGTTTTGTCAAAGCTCGTTCCCAAACTGCCGAAGAATAACAGCTCGGCTTCGTCTTCAACATTCTGCAGTACCCCATCTTCCCCTTGCTAAACCCGTCCCCTGCCAAAATCAGAAGCCTCGAACCCTCCTGAAAGCTTCCTCGCTTGTTCGCTGCTCTTGTAAAGCAGAAAAACCAAAAGCTTCGTCCAGACAGAATCCAAATTCACCGCAATTGCAAGTAAAAAAGAAAACAAAAACGAACCAAACAAACCCCGCGATGACAACAAAACTCAATACCCTGAGAAGATATATGAGATAAGTTGCCTACCGGGGAGAGATCGGCCGAACCCACGGCCCGGATAGGCCGTCGCCGTAAAAAACCCTAGGACGTGCCTAGGAGACGACCGTAGCAACTCCTTTCCTCAAGTTGAACTTATAAGATTTTAATTAATACATTCATTCATAATTATATTCGATATTTAGTACCGATTGAGTCCACTAAAAATGTGATTGGCCTGAATGGATTTTTGAGACGAAGTATAAGTTTGATAGGTCAGGTGAGGACTATAAAGATAGGCTTTTTGTTGAATGGTTCAATCAGCACGCAAGTGTGAATTTTGCTTAGACATTTAGTCATCTCTTTATGCCTAACACGGTGCTTGTTGTACTTATCCCTTAAACTCCATATGGTTGGTCTATCCCACAGTTAAGGATGTTTTCTTTTGGACTGTTTTCAGTCCCAGTTCAGACAAACCATACTAGACTTCCGCGGTTAAAATATACACAGAGACCACAGTTCAAACCAGACCGGCAAATTTCAGTCTAAAAGAAAATATCCTAAATGTATTTTTTTTTAAATCACAACGAGTGGATAGGCCTTACCCATTGAAAACAATAAAACAGAAATCAATTCATGATTCTAAGCGAGGGAATTCCAAACACATCCATAAAATAGGCATTATTGGCCCGAACCGGCAAAAGTGAGGAGCAAGAGTAACTTTCAGCTTGGACCTGGTTCTGGATCACGATAAAGTGCGCGGCCCAATTAGCCTCACGCCAAGTAATCGAATAGGAAACTCGTTCCTTATCTATCATCAACACCATTTCCTTGATTTCAACCGACCATCTCCCACCTCCATCTCCAGTAATCAGACTCAACACCTCCCTAGAGTCCATTTCCACCTGAATGTCTGAGAATCCAGAACGGACTGCCTTAGATAAAGCTCGATGTACAGCAAGCAACTCCGTTTCAAGAGGGGAAGAAGCTTGCATCGGGAAGAAGATTGCGCTAACCATGAGACCATCCTGATTCCTCAAAATCGCGCCTCCTGCATATGAGTGAGGTAAAAAACTGACATCCGTATTAAGTTTGTACTTTCGTGTAGGCTTCTTCCATTTAACTTCCATAACCATAAGTTTAGCTAAACGAAGGGATTTAGGAATGAGTTTTTCCTCGTACAAGATGTTATCAATCTTTTGAATTTTTGATGTTGAGAAACTGTTTACCCACATCTGAGAGTATATTTTAATCTGGCGAATAAAATTCTCTTGCGTAGGAAATGAGACCCCATGCCCCCAAATGATGCTAGTATACTCCTTCCATATGTGCCAACACACGATCCCTGGAAGGCAATGTTTAAAAATGTCCTCCATAGTTTTAGAGTCGGCCTTAATCCACCAAGTAATGAGTACCTGTCTGATTGAAACAGTCTGATAGAGATTAGGAACACCAAGGATTCCCCTAAAATAGTCTCAAATAGGCCTAACCTTTCCACAACTATAGAATATATGATCAGTGTCATCAGAATGAGCCCTACAGAAGGGACAAATAGAAGGATTCAAAACCAGAGAGAATCTCTTCAAATTATCAGAAATAGGAAGAATCTCCCTAAGAAGCTTCCATTGAAAAAGCTTAATTTGTAAAGGTAATCTGGGCTGCCAAACATGTTTAGCTATGAAACTTGCAGGTCGTTCCTCCCTTATTGACTCATAGGCTTATTTGAATAAGAATTTACCATTATCTTCAGGCTCCCAAATAAGATTTCCTTCCAAATTAACACTACACAAAGAGCTAGTCAAATCATCAATACTACAAATTCTGCTCCAAATGGGTGAGTCAGTGATCTTAGGTATCATGTTACTACCTCTAGGATATCTGGAGTTGATAAATTTAGCCCATAAGGAGTCTCTTGCCTTCCATTTCCACCATAGCTTTAGAGTGAAAGCCTTTTCAATGTTTGTTAGACTACGAATTCCCAATCCACCCTCTTAAGTAGGAAAACAAATATGAGACCATCTAACTCAATGATACTTCCTTTTAATATCAAATGAACCCCAAAGAAAAGCTGCCATCTTTCCTTCTAGAATATTGATGACCTTTTTAG